TTGCCAGAAAAAGTCCTGTCTAACAGTAACTGTGTTCAGTTACTTGAGAAAGATGGCCTTTTTCTTACAGTATTAATCTTCATGAAATCTTTAAGGAAGTGACAGTTGCAAGCAAGCATTAAAAAATCCTGACAACGCGAGCCAGAGTTATGCTCAGCATCCCTCTCTGCCATTGAGACTGTTCTGCCAGCTGCTTACTGCTATCGTTCTTGACTTCTAAGTGAACAACCAAGTCTTAGTTGTCAGAGAACAGTTTGGATATATCACATGCAGCTCATTTTTCTATGAGTGCTAAGCAATGGTATTCTCATCATGGATTCATAGATGGACACAGTAAGCAAAAATATACAGACTACTTTTATGAAACAAGTGTTTATAAGCAATGTAGCTTTACAAATCTCAGCAGAGGAAATGTATCGTGAATACATTATACGATCAGAAGGAGGCACTCATTTGGCTTACCACTCCAAACACTTTCCAAGTACCGGGATCCATGGAACCCTATAGGAGTTAAAGAGTATATGACAATTTGCAGCTATTAATTGGCTCATGGAGGGAGCCAGAACACTGGAAGCTAGGAATGGCAGCCTACTCAACATGATGTATATAAAGGAAAGATAAGAAGGCATGACTAGTCAAAAGCTAAATTCAAATAGCAGGAACAATTACTCCTAGAGTTGCAGAGCTGAAGATATATTGAAAAGTCATTAAGGAAGAAAGAAGGGAACCAGACCCCAATCAGAGTGAGGTCCTTGGCTACAGCCAAGCCAAAGGGATAAGCAAAGGAGGTGCAAGCCCTGAGAGCCAACCCCAGGGAAGCCAATTGTTTGCTAAAGCTTGGAAAAAGTACTGGAGTTTTGGAGGAAATTTTCTGAAATAAAGAGAAATGGGCTGTATTTCAGTCCTGGATTGCAGGTTCACTTATTTATTCAGTGAATACTTTTTGAGCACTTATTAGGTGCCAACACTCTTCTTATTAGCACAGAGAGATAAATGATGCTAATATATATATATTTTCTGGATAGGAAGCCCAGAAGATCCATTCTAGTTTGGGGTTGGAAGGAGAAGAAAGAAAACAATACAAACAAGGGGGAAAATATATAGATGGTATCTTGTTCTACTTAAAACAACAACACAGAACTAGGGTAGAGCTACAATAAAAGGAATGATATAATCTTATTTGCATTATTGAAAGTATAATCTTAACCACTATATATAGAAAGAAAGGCTTATAAACAGGCCAAAGGAAATCAGTTTAAGAATTTACTGCAGAGACCAGGTGAGAAGCAGTGCTGTCTTGAGTTGTAGTGTGTAGCTGTAGTGTGTAGCATGTGGGCATATTATGTATTATGTAGGCGTAGCTGTGAATGGAGAGCAGAAATCATTTCAAATGTATTTGGAGACACAAGCACAGGACTTAGTTGTTTGATTGGATGTGCAAGTAAAGAAAAGGGTGGGAACTAGGAGAATGCCCAGTTTCTTCAACGCATCAGTGGGGAAGATGGTGGTGTCATTAACTGGGATACAAATTACCAGCTAAATTTATCTCCAGATCAGTGGTACATGCCTAACGTGGGAACATCTCAACTGGCAAAATTGCAGACATAGGACAATTAAATCATTTCAACCAAGTCATATTATTTTAACCTCCAGGAATTAGAAAATAGCGATGTTAAGCTAACTCAGGTGTGGGCACTGCATATGAAATGTACATGTCAACGTGGGCTACCCAGGAGAAACAGCCTTAGTCAGAGTCATCAGCAGAGGATGAAGACTTCAACTGCACAGTTTTACTGTGGCCAGACAACCCCCAAGACTGAGGTTAGTCTGTGGAGTATGCAGCGATAACACCAATGTTGAGCCTTCATGCTATTATCAACTTGGCTATATTAAGATAGTCATGTTAACCTTGTTACATTATACCCTCCATTTCCCATCACCTGACTAATATAGTTGCAAAGGAGGTTACATTTTCCCAAAATTGCCTTGGGTTTCTTTTTGATCAAATAAGGCATGTCTCAGGAGCTTACAGTCGTTTAACCTCCCTTCACAAGTTAGATGAGCACTTAAAAAAAAACAAAGCCATGCAGATTTCTTTCCAATTACTAGAGTATCCTTAATGATCTGGAGATTAGCTATAGATCAGAATCATAATCGATGGAGGAAAAAATAAGATTGCATTGAAATTCTCTCAAAATTAACCTGAGATTACTTTAAAAAATGCAAACTCAGGGTAAATCACTTAGGGTAAAAAAAAAAATAAGCTTCAATTATTAGATAAGAAAGGACTAGGCAATTATGGGTAAATGACCTGAGGAGGAAATAGAGGGAATTCTAAACTAAGCAGAGTCAGCAATACATGGGGACAAGTCAAAGCACTGTGCTTGGAAGTGAACAAAAAAGAGAACCATGAGAAGCTGGAAAGTTAATACAATTAGAGTATTTAACTTGAACCCTGGGAATCTGGAAAGATAGCACTGTTTCAGGAGAAGAGCAGGAGGTCCTTATCCAAAGAATGCTGAAGTCAGGAGACCTACTTCTGGCCTTGCTTTGTTGCTAATAAGCTATAAAAACTTGGCAGTTCACTGAATTTCTTTAAGCCCTAGATCATTCATCTGTAACACGAGCATGATTGCAATATTGAACCTATCTTCATTGCTCTAAGGAAAAGCTTTATCAAATAAGTAAAAAGAACTATAAAATATAATACGTTCTTAATGGCAGTTTAGAACCCATAAATTATTGCTCCCACGGTTATGTTACACCATAAAGTGTAATTTCTCCCCATAATTGTAGAGTAACCTTCAGACTTGGGTCTTTGAAAGGCATGACAGGATCAAGTAAAGTGCTGGGAGTTTGTGCACTTATTGTTGTTATACTGTAGTTCACTTTTAAAAATTAAAAATCATCAGAAATTTTGGGATAAGGGCTAGAGTCTACATGTTTCCAACTAATAGGAAAAAAAATCTTAGGGTATATGTGGCAAGAATCATAGATATTTGAAAGGAAAGGGGGCCAGATATTCTTTATCATTCTAAAGAGCATAACTATGGGCAAATGAACCAAAGAATATTTTATCAATCTCAGTATATAACAGCACTTTCTAGTGAAGAAAAATATCCAAACATGGGATGTGATCACTTCTCAGGTACTGGAAGTTTTCAAGCATAGGTAAAAGACCATTTTCCAAGGATACTGTAGAAGGAATTGCTGCAAGTGATGGAGGCTGGAATACCTGACCTCTAACTTTGTTATTCTATATTTCTAGCCTAGATTGGAAAGAGGACACTGTAATGCTGAAGAATATGAAAGGTTATGAAGGCCTGTAAAGGTGAAGAATCAAAGGAGAGGAAAGTCCTTTAGTATTTCTTATGGGGCTGGGGACAGGTAGGATAAGTAATGTGTTTCTAAGAAATACCTAAATCTAGGACAGTGATGGCGAACCTATGACACATGTGTCAGAGGTGACACAAGAACTCATTTTTTTGGTTGATTTTTCTTTGTTAAATGGCATTTAAATATATAAAATAAATATCAAAAATATAAATCTTTATTTTACTATGGTTGAAAATATCAAAAAATTTCTATATGTGACACGGCACCAGAGTTAAGTTAGGGTTTTTCAAAATGCTGACACCCCGAGCTCAAAAGGTTCGCCATCACTGATAGGACAACAGTACCAGTTTATTCAAAATTGAGAACGAGGTCAACTGTATCTAAAAGGAACACCAACAACCATCTGAGCATATTGTTAAAGAGGAATCTGATAGGGGTAATAGTAGTTGCCTCTGTGGGAAAATAGACTGAAAGCATGGAAAACCTCTGGGGTACTGGAAATGTTTTCTATTTTGACTGGATAGTGTTCACACAACAGTATACATACATAAAAAATCAAGATGCAAAGATGCGCACCTAATATTTGTGTACTCTGTGGACTTATTGTATGTTATATTTCACTTTTAGAAATCAAAAATTATCAGAATCTTTGGGATAAGGGCTAGAGTCTACATGTTTCATACTTTCTCTAAGGGATCCTTACACACACTAAAGCAGGGGTCCTCAAACTTTTTAAACAGGGGGCCAGTTCACTGTCCCTTAGACCGTTGGAGGGCCAGACTATAGTTTAAAAAAAAAACAAACTATGAACAAATTCCTATGCACATTGCACATATCTTATTTTGAAGTAAAAAAACAAAACGGGAACAAATACAATATTTGTATTTGCATGTGGCCCGCGGGCCGTAGTTTGAGGACCCCTGCACTAAAGTTTGAGAGCCTGTCAACGTGCAGACAAATAAAATAAGGCACAGACAGGAAGCCTGTTGATTCTCCCAAGGCCACTCTGCTATTAATGGGAGGGAGGTTTCAAAGCCAGCACTTCTATGAAATAAATTAAATAATAATAATAAATCTTGAGAGTATTAACCTCACTGCCAAGTCTAGTGACTGATCTGAGACAAAACCGGTTAAGAGCAGATTAAGACCAAAGAGAATTGAAAGGGAACATCCATTCAAAATCTTAAGAGCCTAAAAAACTAGCCGAGGGCAATTCAACCTGATTTTCTGGATAACTGGAAGGGATTAAATGTTTCTAAAGGAAACAGCTTAAGATAAGGGAAAAAAGTGGGTAAAATGAGTGGACTGGATTAGATTTTTAAGAGCCCAGGGCAGCAGGAAGACCAGACCTAAATCAAGACAGTACTGGTATGAACAGAGAGCAATGTGCAACAATAACAGAAAGTTTAAAGCTAGAATCAGTGGTACTTAGCAATAACAGCAATAATTAGTTGTATTCAATATGCATTTACTGATTGTCAGATGTCTTCATTTTATCATTTGATTCTATCAACAACTCCACAAAACGAAGACTATTATTATCCCACATTTAGCAGATAAAGAAACTAAAGTAAAGCAAGAGGATAAATAACATGTCCAGGCCCCAGATAGTAAGTGGCAAATCTAGAT